GACAGTTGGAAACCTCCCTCAGGGGGCCCCATCTTACAGCACTCAGAAATAGAATTGTGTATAACTGAATGTTGTTAGTCTGCCTTAAATATGGGGGAGACATAATTAAATAACAAAACTTCTGCTGGTGCTACATTGTGGTTTGTTTTTTGACTTTTTTGTTCTTAAATCTCTTCTACTATTATTTTAAGTGTCGTCATGATGTACTGGCAATTTCTTAGCAAACCTGAAGCACCAATGAATCTGCTGTATTGTAATATTCATTACACCATACAGTCCTACCAGCCTGGGAGATTATTCCATGGGAGGATTATATAAATTAATTGCATTATTGTATATTAGAACTGTAAATCCCAGCAACATAATGCATCCTTTAACAGAAAACTAAATAACTTTTTGGAAACATAGCCCCAAGAGCAACAAAGAAATGGGTGGTCAGGGGGTTTAGTTATGCAGGGAGGAAGCTATCTCGCTCTTCTTGTGTTGTGTTTGCATTTCTCTCCAGTGTTTGAAGTGGTTTGGTCGAGGCCCAAAGTCTTGATGGTAATTACCTTGCTCTCTCTGACTCTCATAATTTCATGCCTCCGGGGGGGCATTACAGAAGCCTCTACATGTAATTCTGCTGAATTAAAGTGAGGGGAAAAAAAAAGGCAGAAAATATGCTGGAAGCACTGCAGCTCATGTTCAATGTCAAGAGAAGAAAGAAATGAAATATTTACTTTTGATTGCCTCAGAGGAAGACAAATTATGTGTGCTCATTTTAAACCTATTTGCTCATTTATATATGCGTCTCATCTGAAAGAAGTAAAGTTTTAAATAGATTAAAACAGAAAGGTATGAAGTTGACTTTTACATTAACAACATGGATCTATGGTCGTCAGATAAAGTTTGCTACAGCTCTAAGGTTTGTCAGCTAACGCAGGAAGCTGGTTAGCTAAGCATGAAACAAAGAATGGAAACAGGTGGAAAATGCTAGCATGCTAGGTCCAGGGATCTCCAGAAAACAACTCAAATGAACTCGTTATTACAGAAAAACTTAGTTGAATAAACCCTCTTAGGGCTTCCGCATACGTGTCCTATAGCTCACTTATAAGTTTATACCTTTTTGTTCATCATAAAAGCAAAGTTTAACGGCATCAGTTTGACATTTCAAAGAGGTCATGTGTCTTGTTATCGCTCGGCTTGGTACATGAACTTTCTAAGTGTTTTTTGGTTGAATCTGATGAGTTAAAAAAAAATGTGAGTCAGACATTGGTTTCTGTAGAGCACTTTGGAAGCCTATCGGTGGTGGTCGCCATATTGGAATTGTTGCCTCAAACTAAGATGAGTAACATAGTAACATACAAAGAGTTGGGCTTTATGTGGGCCTTAAGTCTCCTGACCAGTGTTGAATAATGAAGCCGATGCAGAAGTCGAAAAATCTCGCAGTTCCTCGAGTGTCCTCTAGAGGCTGGCTGTAAAAGCATCAGAAGTCACATACACACCCATTCAAAAAAGCCTGTTTTTACACCAGACATTAGCATGTTTACAGCCTCGTTAAAAAAAAAGAAATAGGTGTGATTAGCTCAGGTCTTGATCGCCACACACTGTATGGGGGGTGAATTTCTGGAAGACTCATCCGTTTTGATTTTATGAAGTATAGGAGTTTTTCACAATAAGGCGTGTAGCTGACATGATTGACAGGCGGGTGCGGTGTAACGGTTTGTCCGGAGGCTTAAAACTCCCCTCAGCTCCAGCTCTCAGCCTGTCGTTAGGTTGACTGAAAGTTAGACTGAGACAGCATTTCCAACATGGCGACCACCATCGATGGGACTCAATGAATTGCATGTTTTTCCACTTCTGCATTGGCTTCATTTTTCAACACCTGTGGCTGCCAGTGGGTAGCTTAACCTATAATAATAAGGTTAAGAATTATACAGAAAGCAAGTAAGAATATTGAGTATGTGGGAAAAACAAACCCTGAGTTTCTGTCGCTTTTTTTGTGTTACCTTTTTTTGACAAGTAATTTTTCCTGCGTGAGTGTGATGTCTTTATTTCAGTTCAGATAATGACACTAATTCATGCAGTGATACTCACATCAAACAAGTCTTTAGAGTACATTATGCACTGTTCAATAACACACTGATATATAACGGTGGTTATATCAAAACAGCTGTCATACATAATTATTTAGCAATGAAATGACTTTTAATTTCCTCATAAATCCTCCTGTTTCCTCAACACTGAGTGGCAGTTAGTTACCTGAGGCGTGACAAGTGTTCAGGTAGGAACTTGATCAATCGCCTGTTAGAGGGTAGGGGATGTTGAATACTGTTGTGTAGTTCACTCAGTCAAGGCCAATTGCACCTTCAAGTTTGCTTTGAAGTTGCAGAGTCAAACCACCGGGACAGAAGACTTCAATCCCACTCTGTGTTTACACTGAAGACTGAAGTCTGAGCTGCACGTTAGCAGAGCTGCAGCTTCTGAATTGTTTCCACAGAGGGTGGGTTCAGGGATCAGTGTTAAATAAGGTCACCTGTGTTTTTTTTTTCAGGGGAACAAAACCTCAAATCTGCAGTTATGCATTGCACTGCAATTTTGTGTTAGCATGCTAATGCTAGTGATCTTTATTATGCTGGTATCTTCACACTGCATGTAAATGTACCTGAAATGAGCGTGATCTAGAAACACAGTTAAGCAGTGAGTACAGTATGTTATTCTTCTTTTCTCTAGTCCCTCAATTAAACAACTTTTATACACGAGGGGAGGAGTCAGCCGGCCGTCACAGAGTTATTTTCAGAGGATATATTTGATTTCTATTATATTTAAGTGTGAAAAATCACATATAAAACCTAAAAGACATTACATTGCATGAAGTAGATGAAATAGAATTTTATTTGAGGTATAACAGTAGCCACAGAATAAATGCAAACAGAGTAATTATTTTACAGTGCAGAAGAGCTTCAGATGGCCTGAACATGACCGCATGCTGCATGACTAACCATGAGTCATTATGAGAACAGCTCTCCTCTCAGACTGACCATACAGAGGCTGTTCAGTGTTATAATAATTGAATCTGACTGCGTTCAGGTCCGATCAAACCTGTGATACAACCGTGCCTCGGCTGACAGACCGTCGTCATGCCTCAGGAAGTCTGATTCCACAGCTCAACCCTCATGTTCAAACTCGACGTCTCAGGGACATTCTTGCCTCATGACTTCAGGAGACATTTCTTTCACATTTTGTCAGCGTGAAAAGTATTTACGAGACTCGGTGTGAGGACAGGTGTTTGAGCTGATGTGCACCTGTCTTTTAAGCACACAGCAGCATTTATACCTCGTAAGTAAATGTGTGTTTACATGGTGATCTTATCTAGTGTTCCCCCCCCCCCCCTCTGGGTGGAGCCCCAGGGGGTGCTATAGGGGATTGGAGCACCTTGGAGGGAAGAGTGGGGAAAATAGAACAAAAAAGAAAACATAACTTGTGAAAAAAATGTTTTTAAAAATGTCTTTTGAGATGTTTTTCATCACTTTTTTTTAAAGATTTATTTTTGGGCTTATGTGCCTTCAATTGAGAGATAGGATAGAATCGGAAATCAGGGAGAGAGAGAGCGGGGAATGACATGTGGGAAAGAAGCCACAGGCTGGATTTGAGCCTGGGCCGCCCGCTTGGAGGACTACAGCTCCATACATGGGACGCGCACGCACTAACCACTGCACCACTGCACCACTGCACCACCAGCGCCCGATATATTTTATAATCTTGAGTGTTCAGCCCAAAATGACAAAAGACTGTGAACAAAACAAAAAAAAGATTTGGTAAATGAAATAAATATGATTATTAACATAAATCAAGAAATGCATTAAAAGAGCAGATGTGATAAGATGCAAGAAGGATTTCTCCTTTGTATTCCTCACATTCCTGTTGTCCACACTTCCTTGCCGCTGAGGTGGAGGTCGGAGCAGGCCGTGCAGGAATGAGGACGGCGGTGGTTGTGGGGACGAGAGTGTCCTGTCAGAAAAATAAGTTGAATGTCTGTTTTTTTAATATTTCATAATGCACAGCGGGAAGGAAATTCAAGAAATTTTGCAAGAAGGGGGTCCGTGCAAGAGGGCAGTGCTGTAAAGGGGTCCGTGGTGTGGCAATGTTTGGGAACCCTGATCTGATTGTGACATCACTGTTTGTTTAATATTTGAGGTGAAAGTTCATGATCTTGAAATTATAGCTGAAAGCAGTATGAATATATCTATTTGCACATCATGGTCATATTTTTTATTATTTTTGTAAACATTTAAGCGTAACAAACCTTTTGATCCCTCTTTTATTGTAATCATGATTCGTCTTGTCTTGTTTCATCTATCTGTTTCTAATAAGGCGTTTGTATAATATGTTAATCTTTAACAAAAGAATCTTTTTTCTTTCAAATCTTTTTTTGCTGATGCAGATTAGCTGCATTAAAGTAACATTCATCGTAGAGGACGCTGTGAGGCTCCGGGCCCGAGAGGGAGCTAACCAATAATGAATATGAAACGAGGCAGCGGGGGATTCTGTCTGTTTACTTGGAAATAGCCACAGGGCCTCATTTAGTCTGAAAAGAACAACCCTTGCAGGGATTGTAGAGTGGACATCAATCGAGGCTCTAATGGTCTCTCTGGGTCCTGCATAGTGACAAGTCTGACTGGTCTGACACCAGTATTCTCCCAAGGCCTAATTAGCCTGACCATTAAGCCCAAAGGAATGATTGACTGAGCCGAAAAAAGCAACGGTGCAACAAATATTAGATATTTTGTTTACTGGCAAGGGAAAGGAAGAAAGTGTAAAGCAGGTTTTTACGACAAATTGAAGATTTTCTTGCAGGATCTTTGTGTTCACATTTCTTCTTATTCTTTCTTGAATTATCCTCTCTGTGCACGCTGTTTTGTGATTCGCTGTTATGCACGAATATGTCCTGATAACCTCTCATAATCCTTGCCATAGGGTGGCATTTTAACAAGTACGTTTGTGTGTGTGTGTGTCTGCAGGTGGAGGGGAGTTGTTGCTGAATTCCTTTGAGGCGAAACAAGGAGGGGAATTCAGGGAAGGAAAAAGAAAAGATGTAATCCCTGAAACACGCGAGTGCTTGACATAAACAAACACACTGGGAGGATTTCAAAGGAACGGCCGCTTCCCGGGAACCCTCTCATGTGCAGATGGTGAGATAAGGAAGCAAATGCAGAGCAGAGAGGTATGAACACATACTGTCTGCCCACACACACACACATACAGTGCCAGTGCCCCTTTGTCTTTGCTGTGCAATCAGGCAAAGATTTGGTTGTTTGTTTACCGGCAGTTTCCCCTGTCACCATCTCCGCACACCATATATTTTCACATCCATGCCGAGCCAGGAATGTAGCCATGTCACCGGGGAGTTTCCCCCATGCTATCCTGATAAGCTCAATGAAGCTTGCCTTGTCTTGCATGTGGGAAACATCTGTTGAATTCTTTGGTCGTAATGCAACCTGTGTGTACGCTCCAGTCAGGTGTGCAAAGTATGCTGCAAAATACCTGTGTACATGTCAGCGCAAAAAGTAGAAGGGCTGGACACGATCATGGGGGCACTTGATGCATTATAATGCATAGTATAGTGACCACTGAGTTGATTCTCTACTCCTAAGAAAATTGATAAATTCCAAGTCGAAGTCATTTCTATTGATTGGCACTGTTGTATTTGTTGACTTGATGTCCAACACCAACACAAGCTTACTCACTTGTGTCCTCACAGCATTACAGAAATGAATCATTACGAATAATCACTCTTACAATATTCGAATGCTGTGTTTGAGGACATAGGTTTTTAAAGGTGTGCTTTCAGGTGGAGAATCACCCATCCACTTTTTTTTTTGTTCTGATCCGAGTCTGATCAGATTTATTCACCGATACCGATTTCTTTCATTTTTTTGTTTTTTAAAGATTCATTTTTGGGGTTTTTGTGCCTTTTATTGGAGAGATAGGACAGTGGATAGAGTCAGAAATCAGGGAGTGAGAGAGAGGGTGGGGAATGACGAGCGAGGTGGGATCCGAACCCAGGCCACCCTCCTGGAGGACCAAAGCATCCACTGGCGCCCCCCGCTTCTGATTTGTTTAAATCATATTAATAGTGTTATTAATGTCGTTGGTATGATGTCTAAGGCTACACACAGCTGTAGTAAACCCAGCATTGCATTGCATTGCACTGGCTTCAGATACAAACAGGAAGTGTAAGAACTGTACTTTTGATCATATAGAAGGAGCTGTTTGAACGTCGTCATGGAGACAAATTGTGGGCACTTCTTGCAGAATGTCTCCAATACCAGACCGTGCAAGCTGAGTATGTTTAAAGTGCCCGACCATCTTTGTTGATCAGTGACATGGATCACCGTCATCAGTCCAAAACAAAACCACTTTATCGTATTTTAGGCTCCAAAAAAATCAAAACCTTCAAATAAAACACCATGGAACAGTTTATACAGCAGTGTTAAAAGACCCTACATATGCATTTATTCTGCAGTAAAATCTGTCAGGGTTGCTGGTTGTCATGGTAAATAAACAAACGTTCATGCAAACAGTCGGAAATAGCCTCTGTCAGGCCAAAGGACAGGAAGATTTGTCATCGTTAAAACACCTCAAAGGAATGTTGTGAATGTCTCAGCACTTAACTCAGTCTGACAGGGCCGAGAGATTCACTCGATGGTGAGGAGTTTATTTTACCTTACAGCTTTTTATGATGATTGGAAGTTCTCTGTCACACCTCGTAAACTTTATCTGCAGGTACAAACTGTCAAAAGAGGCGATAATGACGGACAAGTTGAAGAGACAAACAGCATTCTGAGCTCAGAGAGGACGCTACTGAAGTCTTCTTTCTACCGCAGGAACCTTTGAGGAACTTTAAGAGAGGGTCTGCGTCGCTGAATGTTTCTGACTGGTCATGACTACTCACAGCCGTTTATTTCATCCCTCATTTTAAAATATCGTTCAAGGAGTTTGCGTCTGAAATGAGCAACAAATAAGCAGGACGTGTTCAGACGCTGTATTGAAAATTTATTCTAAGGATGATACCCGGTGGGGACAGTAATATCCAGCTTATTGTTGCTACAGTGTCACAAAAAAAAGTCAGCAACTGATTAGCCATGGCAGGTATAAGACCACCGTTATATCGCGCCGATCATTCCTAAAAATCCAAAAGGAGTCGTTTAAAAAAAATCATACATCGTACAGTGTGTGCCCATGATGACAGTAACTAATCAGACCTATTGTTTTTTTTGTACCAGGCTGTAAACATGTTTATTTATGCTGATGATTTCTGGTGTTTCTGGAGCCAGCCTCTAGTGGACACTCAACGGCTTTTGCACTGCCGCATCCGCTTCATTTTTCAAGACCGGAGGTTGCTGCTTGGTAGAATCAGCTAATTATTATTATGATTATTTTGTGTAAATGAAATTAAATAAACGTTCCTTGCATCATCTGATGTAGACCATTGCTTCAAAATATTGTGATCATCAAACTTTGTATGTCACTAGTAAGAGTGCAGGTCTGGCTTCTTCCTCTAAACATTGTACAGTTCAACATCATGTACAACATTCATTTTATCATCCACCTTGTGTATCACTGAATTTCATACTTAAGAATATATTCCGACCATTCATTGACTTTGATTTTGTTCCAGTTGAACGTAGATGTTTGGAAAAACCTTTGAATGCTCGAGGGAGATGACCTCAGCGTATTGGTGAAGTTCCTTCCTTGCTTTTGTTACAGTTGACTGAGAGGAAAAGTCCATTGTATTCATAAAGTGAAGCATGCAGGCGAGTGATGAGCGATTCAGTGAAATTTGGTGGACAGTTCATGGAAGAAAAACTTTGACTGCTCACATCACTGCTGCTGTCAGTTTCTTTTCTCTACCTTTACGGGTGCTGCTGGGGCTGCTGGAGGCTTTTTTATCACAACCACAAAGGAGAGTCAGCGGCATGTCGGAGCTGCAGAATACAGAGTTGTCTGATTCAAGACTCCTGCAAGCTGGAGACCCCCTGATGTTGGAATTCAGCCTTGGGCAGTCAGTCTCTGCCAGTTGTCCATTATTTACCTCACACGGGAGAGGAGGATGTGGAATCCAACTCGTCTCCAAAGAGCTCAAACACTGAGCTACCCAACAGTTTGGCTAACTTTCATTCCCTCCAAACACTGCTGTCAGTATGTTGAAGGAACGTTCGCTGTGGGACTTTGAGCGTGCTGTCTGGGCATCTGTAAGGCGTTCTCAGACTTGAAAGTTTAACAGATTTGAAACTCTTAAAAGCCGTTCAAAAATGTCTTACAGCTACAGGAGTGATTCTTTCACCTTACTTCTGACTCTCTTTGACTCACAGGTGTAAAAAAAACATATGTCAGTTAAAAACCATATCCCTCAATCCTGGGTATGAAAACATACTTTTTTATTTAGGAACTTGAACTTGCATGGCTTCAGACTTTTTCCAGTGTTTGAAAAACAGGTTGAGTGGTCTTTACCTTTACTGGAAGGTGTTGCAATAGGTGTAAGAGAGTATTGCAGCACACTAGGCCCTATCAATATTTTGCACTTGTATATTGGTCGAACTGGTAAATAGGACAGCCAACTTTTAAGACTTAAAAAATAGATATCGAAAGGGAGTCCTATGCACCAGACTTTACGACATATTAGCAGACTTTGGTAATATGCAGGAGAAACAGCCCATGTGGATGGAAGGAGCAGGTGGAAAATCATCCATGCTAATGATGTACCAGCTCCCATTGGTGGTAGATAAACAGATATCTTCATAAAGATGCAACTAACTATCCATTATAGATCCAACATCAGCAAAAGTTCTTGACCCTGTATCGCAAAAGCGAATCAGCAATTCGATTTCCCAACTTCCAGAAATAACCAATCAGACCTACATTCAACTGACATTTGAAACAGATCCTGTAACGCATTTCCACCGTGGAGAAAACTGGATGATGTTCTTGAACGTCAGCTAGCTAACAGTCATATTAACTAAGAGTTGGTTGATGCTAATTGTAACAGCTGTCTAATGGGTTACAATTGGTTTTAAACATTTAACATAACCTTTCAGATGTTTTACCGCCCATTCTTTTGGATCACAGAAGTACAACACATTTGAGCTTCACACCCTGGTCTTGACATCAGAAGGAGAATTGCCTCTCTGTGAATATGATGGATGTTTTGCCCAAGGCTTTCCATTCAAGCGATCACCAGAGACGGATTGTTTGCAATGGGAACGGCTAATAATGATAGCAGAGAAATCATTACACGGCAAGACAATTAATCTTCATATCTGCAACTGCGTGCGTCGAATGATAATGCTATTGATGTCATTATGAAGAAGACACAAATGAATGTCCCAGTCGTAACCCACAGAAAAAGATGCAATTAACGTGTCTCTTTAATTGAAATGAAACAAGACAGATGCGGCACAAAGATAGAGTGGAAATAAGTCGATCATCTGGCAGCCTGTAATTAAGAGAAGAGGGATGGTCAGAATTTAACTGTTATAGATGTTCTGCATTGTGTTGTGGTTTCAGATGGTTGGACGCATCTCAGATAATTGAAAATATCTTTATATTTAGCTTTGCATACATTTCTTTGTCTCTGTTTGTTCAGCTAATGGCCCCTTTAGCCTTCTTTGGATCCTCAATCAAGTCAACTTTTGAAATGTTCAGTGACAGCTCAGAGATGTATCCATGTCTAAATCACGGGCAAAGTCACCTTTATTATTTTATTATTCCTGATAAACTTGAGAAAGCTTCGGAAACCTGTTTTTACAAACGCAAAGCCGCTGCTTCTTTTAAAATTTGAAGATGAGAGGAATGTTTTTCCTGGTTGAAAATGGCAAATGACTCACATTCTTGACAACTTTCTATGTAGCTGTATGCTAACCTCTGTTGCAACATGTGTCTGAATCTTATGAGGATGGTGAAAAAAGATTTCTGTATTCCCCTCTGCTCTCTCTCCACAGGGTTCCTTTGGATTGTTCATGTCGGCTCCATAATCACATTCAATATCTATGATAATTGCTACACTGATGACACTCGACTCTACCCTTCAATCCCCCTTTTTATTTTATTTTTTTCAAACACTTCTTGATGTGTTCATCGTGTCTCTCCGGTTGACATCCCCAGCTGGATGTCTGCCCTCCACCTCCAGCTGAAACCTGACAAGACTGAGCTGCTGTAGACACAAAATGTCTTCTGCTCTTTGTCACTATTCACATCAGCACAATGCCTCCTGTCAGGACAAACAAGTGTCTGGGTGTGAGCCTTGACAACTGTCAGGGCAACCAATAAATAAGATTTGACAAGACTGTGGTGGGCGGGGAAAAAAAGAGGATTTTGTTCATCTGAAGGAGCCATGAGTCAAGATTTGATCCTTGATTTTATGTCAAACTATCTAAGGTTATTTTGTCTTTCTTCGTTGAGCCTAAATCCTCGGGAAGATGCTCTGAGGTGGATTCTGCTTAAGCACAGTCAGGACAACTTTGCCTAGTGTGAGTACGTCCTAAGACTCTGTGGTCCGCAACTTCAGAGCACTGGATTCTTGTGTGCCTTATAATAATCATTCACTATTATTCAACAAAATATGGTGTAACTAAATTAGATTTTAATGTCTTATTTTTGCTTTATGTCAAATTGCTGCATTTATTTTGGATCTTATTACATTTTTTTAAACATATTTTCATATTTTATCGTCTCTGTGATTTTTTGATGGTTGGTTTTCATGGTTTTTTAATTTTCTATCTCAAGTTTTTCCCCTTTGTCATGATGCTTTTGATGTGTTTTGAGAAGCATTTTGAATCACCTTGTTGCTAAAATGTGCTTTTTTTTCCAAAGTCTGTGGTCAATATACCCAATTGAATCACTCAAATTGTCCATAAGTGGTGTTATGTGACTGTTTCCCTTGAGTTATTGTCTTGGTATTTAAAGGTAGGCTCATTCCTTGACATTTCTTTAATGCACGTTCATTGCTTTGCCCTTTCCTTATTGCACTTTGGTTGTTTATTGTAACGTCTTTAAAGATATCCCCAGTTTGAAGATTAAACTTTGAAAGGTTATTTCCTGACCGGCCTCCTCTATGTTAACACAAATAATTACCGTTTTTTATTTCTTTCATAATGTCACCTGTATTATCATATTGTTTGTCTCATTAGGAGGCAGTTTTAACTTTGTTTTTGTGTTTGTACTTTGTCAACATATACATTTTTTGTAATGCCTTGAGAGCCATGATCCAATCAGGTTTTCTTGTATCATTAGCTTAAAGGTGGAGTCAGCTTAAACACAACGTTCAAACTGGGCTCATCGCCCCCAGAAGCGTGCACTCACTGCAGGGTTAGTGTCTAAGGGTGTGTTTGAATTGTCTCTCCTATCTCCTTTCACTCTCTAACCCCTGGCGGCCATGATAAGAGCCGTTCGAATTCTCTAAAAGTTAAGGAAAGGTGGGTCAATGCTTCCTTAATAACCTCCTTTAGCATAGGATACACTGGACCATCCTTTACGAAAGGAGATGAGATATGATGCCCTACAATTCCTTTCGGCCGCAACATTTAAAGCGAGTTGCGCATCCGACTGTTCACGGAAATGAACGATGATCGTAAAGTGACTCAGATCATGAAAGAGATAAAAAGATAAGAGACATTTTTATCCAGATGATGTTTTATTCTACATATTGCATTCTCTTAAGAATGCTGTGCAGTTGTACATTTGTATGTTTAAAACATTATGTGTAGGTTATATCTTGCAGAAATGTAACAATTAATTTCATCCAATCATATTTATGTTGATTTCTGATTGGACAGGAAGCTGATGGTTTCACTTTTCTTACTTGTAGCCTGGTATTCTATATTGCTTTTATTTCAATCCCAACCTTGTGGTGATCAGGATTATTTCACCGGTAAGAAGGCACAGAAAGAGTTTTTTAGATGCGTTTTTTGTAGTCCATTTTCTGAACATTGTAGTTTCAACACGGCAGACCCCACATCATTGGTTCTTGACCAAGATGGCGGCGCGAGCGCATCGCGAGGCCCAGCGTCTCTCTCAGATGCATTACTTATTTATAGCATTTATTTATTTTTATTGCATCCCATTAAGCCAGCCATCCAGATATACCTCATAATTCACTTTTTTTTGGCTATATCTGTAAATTTTGCAATTACTGTACATAGCACAGAATTACTGTACATAGCACAGACTCTTGCACTCAATTACTGTACATAGCACAGACTCTTGCACTTTCTGCTTATTTGCACTTCTGGTGAGATGCCAAACCTCATTTCGTTACTCTATACCTGTATATGTGTAATGACAATAAAGTTGAATCTCATCTCATCTCATCTCATTAATCTCCGCCGGCCCGTCGCATTTAATAACGTGGCCTAGTGGAAAATGTGGTCGGATTGTCAGAGCAACGAGATCTCCTTTCCCTAAGTCCTTTATGAATTCTCCTAACATCTTTCCTTGACCTCATGACGTTTTCGCGGGGTTAAGGTGAAGTGGATAGTGAAAGGAGATAAGAGGGGCAATTCGAACGCACCCTTCGTTTACTGCTTGTACCTACACTGCAACCTACCGCATGCTAACACAAGCTAGCCACAGGTCATTGGCACCTGCCTGTCCTTAAGGAAGCAGGACAACTCTGCGTCCACGGGTAAAAGCCTGCTGAAGGTTCACCCACGTTTCAGAGCGAGCTTTACCCACTTAGCATGTGGTTCAGTTGGTAGAGTAGGTCCGCTCTCAACTGGAAGGTTGGCGGTTCGATCCCCAGCTCCTGCAGCCACATATCTGATGTGTCCTTGGGCAAGACACTTAACCCCAAGCTGCTCTCGCTGCTTCGTCAGCAGTGTGTGAATGGGATTATTTACCTCTGATGGTCACTTTACATAGAAACCTCTACCATCAGTGTGTAAGTGTGTCATGCGGTGCAGAAGTGCTTTGAGTAGTATGACGACTAGAAAAGCGCTATACAGGTTCAAGTCCATTTCCAATATTAGTATTTTCTACCCTTTTCATCGACATCCACGTCCATCATATCTGCAGTTTAAATTGCTGAATTGTATCTACTACCCAAACTCACCTAAGTGCTGTCATTGGCTGGTGGAAACACACCATCTCCCCGTCCAGAAATGTCCCGAGTTAACCAAAACAAAACATCCAAATCCAGTCAGAGGACAGGGTCTCTGCAGACACAGACACCACCACACATGTTCGGAGGCCCAGAAGTGAGTCAGAACAGGTCAAATTTGCCGCTGCATTGGCAAATATTTTGACCTATTACAAATAACCCAGGCTTATTCTTTTCGCTTGTTGTATCTTGAAGTAAGATGTTTGTTTGGACTTGTCAGGTGAATGTGGCTCATGTTGCGTGTAATGATATATTTCAGACTAGAAATGAGACAAATGCACTCGCTACGATACAGTATGAGTGTGTGTGTTTAATGTTGACAGGAACACACACCTTCCTGTATATGTTATGCGTGGGGGTGGGTGGATGGATGTCCCATTAGTCCTTGAACACTGACCCAATGTGCTGTGTGTGAATTGGTTATTTCTCCGGGCTCTGACAGCTGGGGGGGGGAGGCGTAGCGCTCCCCGCCCGTGCAGACAGCTGCTCCTCTCTCCTCGTCCTGCCCTCTAACAGTGGAGCCTTGTGCTGCATCCACCTCTCCTGAATGTCAGCACTCATGTCACTGCATCACCATCCTCTCTCGCCCCCCCTCTCTCGTCTATACGTTCCCTCGCTCGTTCTCCCAGAGGACGCAATGTTTTATGTGTTGCACATTTGCACCTCTCCTTTGTTTATGTTTCCCATCGTCTCCACTTTCTGAGAGGTTATAAACTTTGCTGCTGCAGTGAGAACTTTTGCTGTATAGTAAACATCCTGCGACATTCCCATATCAACAGATGAGTCATAATTCAGCACCTCACCGGATGTACTCAGATATACCCTCTGGGAAAACAACCAGCCGACCTGACAACCACCTGAGGCCTGCTACACGATTCTCAAATATATTAGATTTTAAAAACATGGGAGACCACAGACAGAGTTTTAACTTTTTAATCCTCTGAACGTACACACAAGATGATTTGCCCAGACTACAACAGCACACACCTGACGTTTGTAGAAACGATTTCACAGACACGAGGTCTCACATAAACCTGCATGATTTAAACTTGACTTCAGAAGAAAAACAAATATGGAGGACGATCGACATCGTCAGCTGGCCGTCCTGCCCTATTGTGGTATGTGTTGCATGATACATTATAAAGGCACTTGTGTATTTTCCTAAACTTCAACACCCTGGTCTTCTTTTTCAAAATTCCACTTGCATCAGGGCACAGTCGGTTTTATGTTCACTGCAATATTTATCGAATTTCCCTCTAGGATTAAAGAAGTATTTCTGATTCTGATTCTAATTTTTGAGCTGTAAAAGTATGCAACATCTATCTTATTGCAGCCTCACCTGGAATCAAGAATATTGAAATTTTGAGATCTGTGAAGCTCTGACTTTAACAGGAGCGGTGAAATAATCATATTTTCACAACACACTTGAGGATTATTTTGGTCAAATAATCAGTTGTGACATGCCTTTAATCGGGCCACGCCCCTTCGATCATTAGGGGTTCAAATTGGGCCTAAAATCATTTAGGGTGTTGCCAGCTTCAGAATCAGAATCAGAATCGGGTTTTATTGCCAAATACATTTACACATACAAGGAATTTGACTTGGTGTATTGGTGCTAAACAATTAACAAGGAAATAAAGCAGAACTAGCAACAACTTAAATAATACAGTATAAGAAGCTATTACAATATATAAAATAGAATTTAGATGCAGTAAGAATATTTGCAAGAAAAGCAGAAAAATAAAACAAAAAGCTGATGGAAGATAAAAATTACCGGAAGATTTTCAAATTACATGAAAGTTTGGTTGACTTTTTACAGATACTAACTCACACAAGCCGAGCTCCACTAATGTTAGGATGCAAACCGAACTGGCACCCTGTCACAAAGTGAAACAACACTGTTCCCTCATGTTTGCACTTCTAAAAGAAAGGGTGAAAGATGACGAGGCTTACCGGATAATTAGCCAAACGGTAGGAGAGCGGAGAATGTGTGGTGGGTGTAAATATGAGTGTCCCAAAGATTTGGTAAAAGGCAAAGCTCCCTGCAGCTCATTTGAGACGTCACATACAGATTCCACTTCAAAGATTCAGTGGGAGCTCTTGTGGCTTTGGGTTTGAGTGTGATGTTCCAACCACACGTTAAGGAATGCAGCCTGCGTGTTTTTTCAATATGTAGGCAAAAATAAGCAACTTGGACATGGTTGAACTTGCGCTCAGAGGCGTGACGCCGTGTCAGGTCCAGCCCGAGGAATGTTAATGCAGGAGGAAGGTGCTTCACGGGCTGAGTTAGGTCTCCCTCGCTGTGACACGTGAAGGATGGGGCCCGCTTCTGTCATCTCGTCCTCACTAGAGAAGGAATCGGTCACACTCTGCTTCAACATGACTGATCTCAGAGGTCAGAGGTCGGCGCTGTGAAGGCTCAAGAGTGGAATAAAGATGCATCAAGCTTTGCAGGAGAGTCGAGGAAATGTGGTGATTTATCTTTTTTGGGCATAAATATGGAGCAGGATGAGAGGAAATAGAAATATCAATCAGGCTTAATAGACCCAAATGAATTCCGTCACACTCAAGGTGTTTTTTCAATTATGCCAAATGATCA